AACGACAGAGGGCGACAACAAGCTTGACCCAGCGACGCGTACCGCAACGTCTTCAGTCGCATGGGTGACATCCGTTGGCGTCTTGGGCGCCTTGACGTACACATCACCAACATCTTCTTCGTCGTCGGCTTTGTTCCCTGCCACCGAGACATTTTCCGGTGCGTCGTAGCGCTTGTATTCGAGCGCGAGGTACGAGAGAGCGAGGAAGACGACGTAGATGGCCGCGAGGTAGATGGCGCCGTACCAGATCCAGATCGTGTCGGTCTCGAGGCCAAACGTCTTAAGCATGACGTTGCCCATGGTGTCGCCCTTGAGCTTCATGTAGTCGACGCCCGTGTAGACCGGCACTTGGAACTCATCCGACGAGTACTGGTTGATGGCCAGGGCACGCAAGCACCAGCTGAGTGGGTTGATCCAGTAGATCCAGATAAAGTAGTCGGGCATGATGGACGGCGCAAGTACAAAACCCGCAAACAAGATGTAAAACAAGATGGAGAGCATCGCCACGGGCTTGGCAATGTGGAGATCGGGCGAGATGACCGCGAGGAAGAAGAACCACGACGTAAGCGCCAAGTTGGTCAGAAAGAGCAGCAGGAGGTAGACGAAGAACGCACCGACTTCCGACACAAAGCCCGTCATCCAGTACATGATCGAGCCAAACACCAAGGTCTCACCAAACGCAAACGGCACCTGAGTGAACGACTGCGCCAGAATGAACGACGACGTCCGGAAAAAGTTGGCCCACCGCTGCTTGTAAAAAATCTCGCGGGACTCCAGCACCGCCGGCATGAGCGGCACTTGACCCAGCGCAAGAAAGAGCACAGACGTGAAGACGACACCAAGCACAACGAACGGGTTGGCCGAGTCGACTTGATAGAACGTCGACGCGTACAAAAGACCCATGACCAGCACCATGATGAAGCGGCTCTTGACGAACGCCGTGTTGCGCAAAAACACCTTCAGCTGACGCGCAATCAGCAGCTGCGTGCTCTCAACGTATGGCACTTGATACGCCGGCATCTCGGCCATGTGCTTGGCCGCATCAGCGAGGAGAAGCGGGTGGTGCGGGCCCTCGAGGTGGCTCATCATCTCGGCAAAGATCGCCGAGCGACGGAAGACATCGGCGTAGTCGCTCGGCGTGCGCGGCACCGACGTCGCACCATCGACGACGTACTGGTCTTGTTGCGGCGTGCCGAGGTCGAGCAGAAAGTCGGCCACGTCGCGCTTCGGCGGACACTTGAACCCGAGCGACTCGAAATACTCGAGAGCCAGCGACCGCGCACCGTGGTACATGACGTGACCTTCGTTCATGAGAAGCACTTCGTCAAAGAGGTTGTACAACTCGGGTGACGGCTGCAGCAACGCAATCACAATCGTCTTCTTGAGCGACGCGGCCATGCTCTTCTGCGACTTGACAATGTCGTACGCAGCTGCCGAGTCGAGACCGGTACTGATCTCGTCCATGAACGACACCTGCTTCATGCCAAACTCCATCTCGCCGACCGTCACGCGCTTGCGCTCACCGCCCGAGACACCGCGAAGCATGGCGTTGCCGACGATCGTGTCTTCGCAGATCTTGAGACCCATCTGCCGCGTGATGATATCCGGGTAGACGTTGTAGAGCGACTGGATCACAGCCTTGGCCTGCGCGTTTTCTTCGGGCGAGCCGTACTGGAGAGAGTCGAGGACGCGTTGGGGCACCGCCGCGCCACCGCTGCATGCGTGCGCAAAGGCGAGTGTCTCTTTCACCGACAAGGTCGGGTAGTGAAAGTCGCGCTGGTTCATGTACGCCGTAAACTGCGGTAGCTGCGCCTTGACGTCTTCGGACTTGGCGCCGTTGAAAGTGACGGTGCCGCCCACCGTGATGTTCTTGTGCATGGGAAAGCGGCCCGAGAGGATCTTCATGAGCGACGACTTGCCCGAGCCGGGTTGACCAAGAAGGAGCGTCGTCGTGCTGGGCTTAAAGACACCCGACATTGGGTGCAGGACGTCCTTGCGGATCGAGCGCTTCTTGCGGGCGAGGCCGCGCGCAATCTTCTTGACGTGGTTGTACAAGGTGGGCAGCTCATGGCCGTCCTTGGTGGCGACGGAAACTTCGGCCGCAATGGAGAGATCCTGGAAGCGAATTTCCATCTGCGGCATGGCCTTGCCCATGGACGTCTCGAGCTGCGCAGCCAAGGACGCATGGAAGGCGTCCGAACCGTCTTGCAGAAAAGCGTCGGCCGACTGAGGCGATGGTGGCATGCTCACGACCCCGCAAATTCAAAACTGGTTGTGGTCGCATCCGCTGTGATCATTGCGCGTGGTGCTGTCCAGTTGGATCGCACATTTGGCAGTACAAAGCGTTCCTTTTATCAACGATGCACCTTGTTGCATGTGTGTAGCGGAGGGCGCTTGGGCGGCTTGTAAATGTTTGACTTGGGCTGGCTATAGGGTGGGATCACGGCTGGGTGCGGCTCGATACTAAGCTTACGATGTCACAGGCAGAACACCTCTGCGTTGAACTGAGAATGCGTCCAGATGTGGCAAATATCCTTGTATTGGCAAGGAGAAATGTGAGCTTGGATGCACTTAAGTATGACACTGGCTAGCCTTCTAGCTTGTCCATGCCTCTGTGAGGAATATTGTATAGAGCGTGATATCATCATGGTCCCTCGTTTCGCCAGCGTCGTGCACAATTATTCGCATTCGCTCCAGCTTCTAACTACGACGTCGTCTTTCCTGTTTAAAACGCGCAGAAGCAGGCGCCACGACCCCTGAAATCATGGTAGTTCTATGCTCCAAGACAAGTGGGTTATTCTTTGTGGATCTGTTGATCCCACCACGCATGCTGCCGGCGTACGGTCGACGGCGTATGAGCGCGCGAGCACCTTATCATTGGTTGACAGCACGTGGCGGGTTGCATTGATGGGCTCGCAAGAGTACGCGGAAGAACACGATCGATGATACGCGATTGTGACAGCTTCTCCGTTGGCGGCATGAGTAGCCACGGCTATATTTCTAAAGTGGATACGTAGGTGTCAAGGTGTTGCGATGACTACAGGTGCTTTTAGTACATGTGACACCGACTGGATCACAGCCTTGGCCTGTGCGTTCTCTTCGGGCGAGCCGTTCTCAAGCGAGTCGAGGACGCGCTGGGGCACGGCGGCACCGCCGCTGCACGCATGAGCAAACTCGAGCGTCTCCTTGACTGTCAAGGTCGGGCAATGAAAGTCGCGTTGGTCCATGTAGGCCGTAAACTGCGGCAGCTGCGCCTTGACGTCGTCGGACTTGGCGCCATCGAATGGGATTCGACCGCCCACTGTGATTTTTTGTGCATGGGAATGCAGCCCGAGAAGATCTTTAAGATCGACGCCTTGCACGAGCCGGGCTAGCTGGCGGAGTACTAGTACGAGTGTCCTTGTGGACTCCCCGAAAGGAGGGTTAGGCGCCTGAGACCACCAACACGTAATTCCAGTGACGCATAGCTTTGCTAGCCGAGATGACTAAAAAAATCGCGTTTGGCTACGGCAGGCATCGCTTGTCATTCCGACTGAGAGGTGCTCTACACGTGACATTGGAAAGAATTGCACGCCGCAAATTTGCATCTCCCACCCATTCAGGGGTAGAGCCAGCTCAACAGCCATATTCTGATGTTCTTGTCCAATACGAAGGT